TCTGCTGTTGTAGGCTATCTCTGTGTCAAGGTTTAGTCTAAGGCATAAATGTAAGTTATTCCTAGGTTTTTCCTGAGCCTTGCCTTTCCCTGAGCATACAGAGTCCATTTCTAATTTTCCCCAAATATGCAGTTGTTTTGAATGCCCTATTCTTTAGTAAAAGAGGAAAATGGAAGGGGAGAGAGGGTGCTAGTCCCTTAAATCCTATAGAAGCCACCTCAGTTGGAGGACAAGTGGCTTGCAACAATGTGGGAGGTGCAACAACGTTACTTCCAGCCTCTTTGTAGCTCTGTGGTTGGAAGCAGCAACCAGTTATCAGAGCACAGATCTATGATATTTGGAGGACAAGGTGATTTGTCCCCACCACGGTTCCTGTAAGCTGTGTGTAAGGGAGGAGGAGGGTGATGAGTAGCTACTGCTGTGATAAGAGTTGAAATAGATTGAAATTAACTACGATTACTCTGCAAGCCTTCCTCTGAAAGTCACAAACCTTCAATAGACTCTAGAGGTCCAAAATAGTTGCATCAGACAGATTCTACCAGTATAATTGTCGTCTAAGTGCAGAGACAGATTGTTGGTGCTCCCTACTCTGCCATCTTCCCAGATTTCGCCAATATCCAGTTTTATAAGAAAAATTATAGTTTTTGTTGTTGTTGTTGTTTTTTTTGAGATAGAGTCTCGCTCTGTTGCCCAGGCTGGATTGCAGTGGTGCAATCTTGGCTCACTGCAACCTCTGCCTCATGGGTTCAAGGGATTCTTCCACCTCAGCCTCCCAAATAGCTGGGACTACATATGTGCACCACCATTACTGACTAACTTTTGTGTTTTTAGTAGAGACAGGGTTTCACCATGTTGACCAGGCTGGTCTTGAACTCCTGACTTTGTGATTTACCCACGTAGGCCTCCCAAAGTGCTGGGATTACAAGTGAGCCACCACGCTTGGCCTACATACAGCTTTAAAATGTACGTTAACAGGAAAGGTAAATTCCCTTAATAGGATGACAATTATTATTATTGTTAATAATACAAACATTGATTAAATCCTTGTTATGTACCAAGAACTGTCTTAGCTATATGATACACATGGTCTCATTTGGTTCACACAACAGTGCTCTGAGATTGGTACTATAACCTCCATTTTGCAGATGAAGATAGTGAGTATCAGAGAGGTTAAGTTGCATAATATTGCACCCCTAGTGAATAACAGAAGTGAGATTCAAAGCAAGATATGGAGGAGCCTCTCTGAATGTATTCTGGTGCAGGGGCTGCCTGACTCAAAACAAAAAAATAAGATATACTACACTTCAAAAACCATGCTCATTTTTTTTCTCTTTTTAATATTTTTGCCCTACTTTAAAACTAACAAGTTAAAAAAAAACACACACTTGGCCAGGCATGGTGGCTCCTGCCTGTAATCCTAGCACTTTGGGAGGCCAAGATGGATGGGTCACCTGAGGTCAGGTGTTTGAGACCAGCCTGGCCAACATGGTGAAATCTCATCTCTACTAAAAAATGCAAAACTTAGCTGGGCATGGTGGCAGGCATCTATAATCCCGGCTACTCAGGAGGCTGAGGCAGGAGAATAGCTTGAACCTGGGGATGGAGGTTGCAGTGAGTTGAGATCACTTCACTCCAATCTGGGCAAAAGAGTGAAACTCCATCTCAAAAAAAAACCAACAACACTCTTAACCATTGTGTTGTAGTATCTCATGAGAATCCATATTTTGCATTCTGTATTAGTCAGCTTTTTCCACAATAATACTGTGTAATAACTACTTTAAAACTCAATGGCTTAAAACAACATGCATTTATTCTTGTGTTCAAAGGTTTGCTGATCAACCATGATTTGGCTGAGCTCATCTGAGAAGTTCTGTGTTTGTGTTTGCTCCAAATTTGTTTATTTTGGTGTCTAGGCTAAAGAAACAGTAGCTATCCATGCCACGTGCATGTCAAGGTAGGCCACCAGCGCATAAGATTGAAGCTGTATCAAGCATGCACATTTAAGGCATATGTGGTGTCCATGAACACTTAATCAGTCAAAGCAAACTGCATGGCTAAACTCAACATCAATGTGGGAGAGAGGTACCCATGATGGCAAGAGGAGGGGAGTAGATGCTTACTAAATAGCAATACAAAGTATTGTACAGTCCTTTTATTTATTTGTTTTTTTCATAACATTTGAGTCAACTTAATCCTTTTCATTTGGGCAGGTATTGTTTCAGTTTTATTACGGCGCAGAGATGCTAAATTCCAAAGCTGCTACTGAAGATTTTAGCCCTTCCAGCCCTTAAGTAGTTCTGTGCTGAGTCCTCAAATGTTGGCTATTGAACTCTTTAGAATGGTGCCATTGTTGGGAGATCTCAAATCCACACTATTCTTCACTTGACTCCCTGCCGAATCCATCAAGGTGTTTATATATTTTTTAAAACCCTGCAATAAAATTTTGATTTCCTCAAGACCAATGTATTTTCAGAAATCCAGAAGCTGTTTGTGAATAGCTCTTATAAGGAATCAGAATAAGGTCATCAAGTTTTAGAGCAGCCTTAAGAGGGCACTTAGTTCAACCTTCTCATTTTACAGATGAGGAAACAAATAGTTTCAGTTTCAAGCTTTCGGTTGTCATATACAATGGGATACATTTTTTTCATGTAAAGAAAGCAATGAGAAAAAAATCTGGGGTGACTTTTCATATCTTACTGCAACTATAATTCTGCAACAGAGACCTATGTTCAGTTGATTTTATGAGAATCCTCATGTGACCTGCTCACTTTATCACTACAACCAACTTCCCTGATTGCCTAGAAAAAACAAAACTTAAGTCACCTCCTCCAGTGTTCTGAGGCCATCCAGGACTGTTTTCTCCTTGGAAAGGCACCAAGCCCCATTTTTCAGAAAGAGAATTATAAGCATTGTTTCAGACCAGAAACTTCCAATATTGAGCTAATGTTTTCCCCGATTATAACTGTAAAGTTAGAATGAAGAGTGGGCTGGGAGTGAAGCTAAGAGCAAAGATTAGAAAAAGCTAAGGTAAAAAGTAAAATTCATTAGATAAATATCTATTGAATATCTCCCATGTTGTCAGGTCTGGTTCTAAGGCACTAAGGTTTTGGTGTGAACAAGACAGAAAAAACCACTGTGCTCATGGTGCTTCCAGTTAACCTCAACATGTAACTAAAGTGTTACGGAAGCTAAAGTACAGGGTGTGATGGCAGCATGCAGTGTGACGTTTATCCTGGTGTATGTGGGGGCCTGAGGAGAGAGAGCTTTCCAGGCAGAGAACAGAGTGCGTGCGAGGGCTTAACAGAACTGAGGAATGGCCAAGAAGCCAAACCTTAGCAAGGAAGAGGCTGGACAGGTGGTCAGGGCCCAGGCTGTGGGAGGGGACTTAGAGGACAAGGGTAGAGCTTTGGACTTTATTCTAAGGATAAAGAGGAGACATTCTCTGAAGGCTCTGAAGTAGGCAAAGGATATACAGTAATTGTATTTACTTTATAAAAGGAATACCCTGGCTGTAGTGTCAAGAATAAATTGGAGCAGGAAGAAAGAAGGAACTGGGGGAATCTTAGAGAATTTTGTGGAGAACAAAGTAAGAATCGGGCTGGTGAATCCACATATTCCACTGAGGTTGGCTATAGATTTTGTAGAGAAAATATGCAGCATGAGTGTGTGTGTTTGTGTGTGCGAATGTGCAGCCATATGTTCATATATTAAATGAAGCATATTGAGGGCCCTCTCTTATGGTGTGTGTATATATGTATATATATTTCTTTTCTTGTTTTTTTTTTTTTTTTTTTTTTTTTTAAGACAGGGTCTTGCTCTGTCACCCTGGCTGGAGTGCAGTGGTGCAATTTTGGCTCACTGCAACCTCTGCCTCCCAGGTTCAAGCGATTCTCCTGCCTCAGCCTCCCAAGCAGCTAAGATTACAGGCATGCGCCATCACACTCGGCTAGTTTTTGTATTTTTAGTAGAGACAGGGTTTTGCCATGTTGGCCAGGCTAGTCTCGAACTCCTGACATCAGGTGATCCACCTGCTTTGGCCTCCCAAAGTGCTGAAATTACAGGCATGAGCCACCATTCCCAGCCTCTTATGGTATATATATAAGTTGTAAGACATGATGCTTTGATATACATACACATAGTGAAATGATTACTAGCAAATTAATATATACACCTCCTCGCAGTTACCTTTTCTGCGGGAGTGGGGATGGTGAGAACATCTGAAATCTACTCTCTCAGCGAATTTCCAGTATGCAATACAGTATTATTATTATTATTATTAATTTTTTGAGAGGGGGCGTCTCACTCTGTCACCCAGGCTGGAGCACAGTGGCACAATCACGGTTGACTGCAACCTTGACTTCAGCTCAAGTGATCCTCCTGCCTCAGCCTCCCGAGTAGCTGGGACTACAGGCACATGCCACCATGCCTGGCTATTTTTTGTTTTGTTTTGTGGAGTTTTGCTGTGTTGGTCAGGCTGGTCTCAAACTCCTGGGCTCAAGCAATCCCTCCACATCGGCCACGATACAGTATTATTAACTATAGTTCTCATGCTGGGCATTAGTTCTCTGGACTAATCCTACATAGCTACAACTTTGTACCCTTTGAGCTATGTCTCCTCATTTCCTCCTCCTCCCCACCCCAGTAACCACCATTCCAGTCTCTGTTTCTATGTATTTGACATTTTTAGATTCCACATATAAGTAAGATCCACATATAAGTAAGATCATGCCACAGTTTTCTTTTTCTTTCTGTGTCTGGTTTATTTCACTAACGTCCTTCAGGTTCAGCCACATTGTTGTGAATGGTAGGATGTTTGAAGGGCCTCTCTTATCTAAACTCACCCAGAACATCCAGATAGCCCAGGAATAGGATGACTCCTTTGGGGTTTGAGAATGTCTCTGGAACATACTGCTTGAAACACAAGAATGGCCTTAAAGGCAAAGTTGGAAAATTGGACGCGTATAGTTAGCTCTCTTTCCTCCCGAAACCCACTAACACAGATAGCAGAATTTTGAAAGTGAAAATGCGGTGAAAGGCGGTGACTGGCCTGCCAGACCCCATCAAACTGTACACAGTCTGCACGGGAAACTCCAAGATCAACTTGATTCACATTCAGAGCAGTGAAAACAGCGCAGGACTGGTGACACCTGGTACCTCTGGAGGTGAGAGTGAAGGTGGGGCTGAAAAAGGAGGGTTGGTGAGAGGGTTTTATTTTATTTTATTATTACTTTTTTAAAGACTCAGTGACTCAGTCTTGCTCTTGTCTGCCAGGCTGGAGTATAACGGCATGATCTCAGCTCACTGCAACCTCGGCCTCCTGGGTTCAAACGATTTTCCTGCCTTAGCCTCCTGAGTAACTGGGATTACAGGCATGCACCACCATGCCTGGCTAATTTTTGTATTTTTAATAGAGACAGGGTTTCACCATGTTGGCCAGGCTGGTCTTGAACTCCTGACCTCAGGTGATCCACCCGCCTTGGCCTCCCAAACTGCTGGGATTATAGACGTGAGCCACTGCACCTGGCCAAGAAGGGTTCTAGAAGCAGTTGGCCTCTCCCCGTACCGTGTTCCCTCATGACATGCATCCACATGGCTCCTTCTTCTTCTCTATTGCAGTAAGTGGTAGGAGAGATTTATTTTCTGAAGACAGTAACCAGGAGGTTTCTGAACTAGAGAAGCCAGAGAGCATGGAGATCTGGAGGACGATGTACTGAAAACGGAGGAATTAAAAGACTATAGAGTAGCTGACTGAATATTTGGGTTCCAGCCTTCTTCTCACACGTGGCTTCCAGAACACAGCAACCAGGTGCATATTCTTCAAGTAGGGGACTGAAGAGTCTTCTCTGGGCAACTGACCAACCCAAGAGGAGAAGCCTAAAGTAAGGGTTCCCTAGAAAACAGTCAAGTCATGTCACTCCCAGTGCCAGGAAGAAAGCTATGTGAACACAAAGGCAGAGATCAGGGCAATGCGTCTGCGAGTCAAGGACCAGCAAAGATTGCCAGCGAGCTGGGAGAGGCGTGTAAGAGAGCCTCCCTCACAGCCCGCAGAAGGGACCAACCCTGCCTGCGGAACTGTGAGACACACATTGCTCTTGTCTAAGCCACCCAGTCTCTGGTACTCTCTCTCTTTTTTTTAACTCATCATCATCATCATATTATTATTATTATTATTATCATTATTATTTTGAGACGGAGTTTTGCTCTTGTTACCCAGGCTGGAGTGCAATGGCGCGATCTTGGCTCACCGCAACCTCCACCTCCTGGGTTCAACAATTCTTCTGCCTCTTGAGCAACTGGGATTACAGGCACGCACCACCATGCCCAGCTAATTTTTTGTATTTTTAGTAGAGACGGGGTTTCACCATGTTGACCAGGATGGTCTTGATCTCTTGACCTCGTGATCCACCTGCCTCGGCCTCCCAAAGTGCTGGGATTACAGGGTTGAGCCACCGCACCCGGCCTTAACTCATCATATTATTATTTTTTTAACTTTTATTTTAGGTTTGGGAATACACATGCAGTTGTGTTACATAGGTAAACACCTGTAATAGGGGTTTGTTGTATATATTATTTCATCAGCCAGGTATTAAGCCCAGTATGCAAAAGTTATCCTTTCTGCTCCTCTCCCTTCCTTCACCCTCCATGCTCAAGTAGACCCCAGTGTCTTTGTTTCCTTCTTTGGTTTATAAATCCTTGTCATTTATCTCTTACTTATAAATAAGAGCATGTAGTATTTGGTTTTCTGTTCCTGCATTAGTTTGCTAAGGATAATAGCCTCTAGCTTCATCCATGTTCCTGCAAAAGACATGATCTCATTCTTTTTTATGGCTGCATAGTATTCCGTGGTGTATATGTATCATGTTTTCTTTATCCAGTTTTCACTGATGGACATTTAGATTGATTCCATGCCTTTGCTATTGTGAATAGTGCTGCAATGAACATTCGTGTACACGCATCGTTATGGTAGAATGATATATAGTTCTCTGGGTACCTACCCAGAAGTAGGATTGCTGGGTCAAATGGTAGTTCTGTTTTTAGCTCTTTAAGGAATCACCACACTGTTTTCCACAATGGTTGAACTAATTTACACTCCCACAAACAGTGTATAAGCATTCCCTTTTCTCCACAACCTTGCCAATACCTATTATTTTTCGATTTTTTTTTTGAGACGGAGTAGCCTGTTGCCCAGGCTAGAGTGCAGTGGTACAATCTTGGCTCACTGCAACCTCCACCTCCTAGGTTCAAGAGATTCTCCTACCCTAGCCTCCAAGTATCTGGGACTACAGGCATGCACCACCACACCCAGCTAATTTTGTATTTTTAGTAGAGATGGGGTTTCCTCATGTTGGCCAGGCTGGTCTTGAACTCCTGACCTCAGGTGATCCACCTGCCTTGGCTTCCCAAAGTGTGGGAATTACAGGCATGAACCATGGTGTCCATCCTATTTTTTGATTTTTAGTAATAGCCATTCTGGCTGGTGTGAGGAGGTATGTCACTGTGATTTTGTCTTGCATTTCTCTAATGATTAGTGATATTGAGCTTTTCTTTATGTGCTTGTTGGCCACATGTATGTCTTGTATTGAGACGTGTCTGATCATGTCCTTTGCCCACTTTTTAATGGGGTTGTTTGTTTTCCTCTTGTAAATTTTTTAAGTTCCTTATAGATGCTAGATATTAGATCTTCATGTGGCACCTTCTTACATTAGGCCTAGCAAACAAATACACATGGTATGTGGGAGCTCATTTCCACGTGCTCCATGAAGGAAAGACCTGTGTTTCTGAATCTTCCTCTGAAGGAAGGAGGAAAGGAAAGCAGAAAAGAGGGAGGGAAGGAAGAAAAGGGGTGGGCCACAATATGCCTGCACCTGCCTTGACCCCAGCAGGACCTCAAAATCTGCCTTTGAGCAAAAGGGCTTATACTTCTGTACTTAATCTTTATATCATCATCAGATGTTTACGTATAACATTGATAGTTGAAATACAAACGTATATACATACCAAAGAAAAGCAGAGAAGAAAATTCTTCTTTTTTCTCCAGGTCTCCAGATGAGAGACTAACTGCTTGGTAATGTTGAGGTTAAAAAAAGAACGTGAAGTCAATAAAGGATGAAAAATGTTGCATTTTAATTTGTTGACTCTAACTTTTTTCTCTGACCAAATAAGATAACTGCTTTGGGGTGGGCTGGCTCTTGTCTTACTTCTTCCTAGGAACTCACAGAGCCAGGGAGACACTGACAGAGGATGTCCTTTCTGGATTTGCTTAGGAACATTTAGAAAACTTTCCAAAGATCAGCGGTAGATGGATGGCAGCCGTAAGGTAATAGCTACCATTTCCACTCAGTTGTCCAGGCTCCAGTACATGATACATAAACCACACGCAGCCTCACTGTGGTTCAGAGGTTAAAAGTTATTAACTGAAATCAATTGAAATAAAAAGAGCCACATCTGCCTCAGTACACAATTAACTTCTCCAGACGGCTTTGGCCTGCACTGCAGGGGACACACACACACATGCACACACGCACACACACACATGCATGCACGCATTCTCACTCAGTAACCCGGGGGGAGAGCAGAGGCAGCTGCAGGAGCCAAAAACCTCCCCAGTCCTAATTAAAGCCTCAAAGTTTCCAGGCAACACAGCCAAGGAAAAATCATTTCCAAGCCGAAGACCCCCAGCCCCCAAACCCGGCAAAGGAAACGGGTCGTTTGGTTTAATCAGCCCGTGTGCACATTCTCTCTCCCCAGGTTGCCAAGACGGGCCTGTACCTAGCAGAGGTATTTGTGTAATCAAAGCTTCTGGAACTTTCCCTGCCAAGGCTACCAATGTGAATAGGCTCCCGAGGTAAAAATGTCCTCCCCGCTGGGGACGGCGCCCTTGAAGTCTACATCAAAATCAAGCCAGGGTCACAGCTGTTGCGGCACCCCACAGTGGAAAACTTGCAAGAAATCCCAGCCTGAACTACTGCTTTGCCTCAGGTCTACAGGAAACAGGGCCCAGAGTTGGGGGGAGAGAGAGAAAGGAAGGAGAGAGAGAAAAAGGGAGGGGGGAGAAAGAAAGGAGGGAAATAGAGAAAGGAGGGAGGGGGAGAGGGAGGGAGAGCGAGAGAGAGGAGAAAGAGAGAGAGAGAGAGAGAGAGAGAGAGAGAGAGAGAGAGAGAGAGAGAAAGAGAAAGAGAAACTTTGGGGTGGGAAGACAAAGTCACTTGGGAACCTTGTGCTCTTTACGGAGACAGCCCAACGCCCACCCATCACCATCACCCTCATCCCTCTTAAGTGAGCTGAGGTTCCCGCAGGTTGGCCAAGAACCACTAGGTGGCAGCAGATTAACTCTTCAGATGCCAGAATGGGCTGGGAGCAGTTGGGAGCTGAGTATGAAAACTTTGTATTTGGTCACTTCCCTCAGAGGAAAGAAAAAAAAATGACTTTTTCTGTACCCCAAAAGTCTTTGGCTTGTAGATTAAGTATTGGAGAAAAATCTATGAGGGGTTAAGATTGCTTCTTGGGTCACCCATTCTTGTGATGGCTTGAATTAGAGTGAAATGCAATTATTAATTGTATGTGCTCCAGGTTGCATAACTTTGATGCTGATGACACTTGGTTCACACTTGGTTCAAGGGACTGAAAGGTCCTTTAAGAAGTTTATGCTCACATTCAAATTCCCTTCAACAGATGCTGAATATAAGAATAAATGGGTGGGACATGATCGTTCATGCCTGTAACCCCAGTACTTTGGGAGGCTGAGGGGGGTGGCTCACCTGAGGTTGGGAGTTCAAGAGCAGCCTGACCAACTTAGAGAAACCCCATCTCTACTAAAAATACAAAGTTAGCTGGGCATGGTGGTGCATACCTGTAATCCCAGCTAATCGGGAGGCTAAGGCAGGAGAACTGCTTGAACCGGGAGGCAGAGGTTGTGGTGAGCCAAGATCACATCATTGCACTCCAACCTGGGCAACAAGAGTGAAACTCCATCAAAATAAAAGAAAGAAGAAGAAGAATAAATGAGTATGTTCCATTTTCCAGGGACAGTGCTCATGGTCACCTAGATGGCCAAGGCCCCTGGTCTCTGGGAGTTAATGGGGAAGACAGTCATTAAAAATAAACAACATTCTTGCATTTGACCACTTTGGACGAGTCAAGGAATCCAGACTTAAATCTGGTATGGATAAAGGAGAAAAAAAATTAAGTTAGGGGAGAATAGGCTTATGCAAGTCATTTACATTAAGCTTCTGTTACATGGGAAGACTTAGGTTTTTTAGGGTGGCCAGTAGCCTAAAATATGGAAGCCAACAGAAAGAAACTCTGTCAGCAGGGGCTATATATGCTTACTGTTCAAATGACAAGGAAAACAAATTTTTCTCCTGTGTTTTCTAGCCTCTGCAAAGCATCCCCTCATTCCACCTATTAAACTTCTGCCACAAATATAAAAATAATATGGTGTTGTTGACTGGAGTAGGGGGCCAAAAATGTGAAATTGATTTACTTTAGAAAGGAGACAGAGCTACCAGCCACCAGAGGAATAAATCCAGGAAGGGGACAAGGGGCCTGGGGTGAAAAGACAAGAGTTCTTGTCGTTGAGCTTAAGAGAGTTTGGGAGGAATATGGAAAGAGGGAGAAAAAAAATTAGGAGGAGAGAGCCATAAATGTGTGATATATATGACTTGAGAGAGATAGGGAAAGGCAATTTTAAGATATTTTGCTGTGCATTTGGGATTCCCTTCAATAGGCTTCAAGAGCGTTCAGTAAAGATTAAAAATTGCCTTACAGTTATTTGTATTTCTTGGACTGGAAACCCACCTAAGACACAAGCACACACTGTTGATGGAATCAACCCCCTCCCTTTCCTGTTTGTCTAGGTGGTAAGGCAGGACTCAGATAATTTCTTTCAGGAAAAGCCATCCCAGGGTCTCCAGTAGGTTACACAAAACATAGTATGCTAACCCTCATATGCAATTTCTTATTCTTAAGGGGCAGCCTCAGACTTTTTGAATTTTTTTCTGCAAGTTCATAAAAAAGACAGAAAGCATCACAGGAAGACAGCGCTCTCATCCTCAGTGACCTGGGATGGTGATATCACATGTTTGTATTATCCCCTGTACTTATGCTGCGTACATGACAGGGCTAGGAGGCGTTTGATGGAATTGGGGCTCATAGTGGCCTACTCTCCTAGTGTCTTACTTGAGACAAGAACTGTTATGTGTTGGAGAAACTTACATGAGTTTGATCTGGGGGTCATGATGATCCCTCAGGCCAGCGGTTTATTCCTCTGTGTTTTTACACATATTTTTCCTTCTGCTGGACTCCCCTTACCCTGACCCACCTCTTTGCCAGCCAACCAGACTTCTGGTCTGCTTAGCAAACTCCTACTCTAAAGGGAAGACTGTTGAAATGTCCTGGCCTCTGCGAAGCCTGCCCTGGCCACTCACCCACACCCTCTCATACATAACTCACTCCTAGTATAGCCATGTTGCGGTCCTATCTACCTTTCTTTCTTTCCTTTTTTCTTTTCTTTTTTGAGACAGAGTTTCACTCTTGTTGCCCAGGCTGGAGTACAATGGCATGATCTTGGCTCACTGCAACCTCTGCCTCCCGGGTTCAAGCAATTCTTCTGCCTCAGCCTCCCGAGTAGGTGGGATTACAGGCACACGCCACCACCCCCGGCTAACTTTTGTATTTTTAGTAGAGGCGGGGTTTCATCACCTTGGCCACGCTGGTCTTAAACTCCTGACCTCAAATGATCTGTCCACTTTGGCCTCTCAAAGTGCTGGGATTACAGGCCTGAGTCACCTCACCCGGCCCCTGTCCATCTTACTACAGCGAAGACACAATTATCTTTCCATCTTAGGTGCCCCGCACAGTGCCTGATGCACAGGTGATGCTCAGTATATGACTGGACAAGAGCTGTCATGTGACTTGCAATCCATGCCAGGGAAGCCCAGCTCTTGAAAAGCCATTGCTTTCCAAGAACTTAACCTAGAATTCAAACTAAAGGAGGTGCAGGGAATTCCATCAGTAACCCATCCTCCTGGTTACAATACATATTTCCCAGTCTTCAATTGCAGTCTTAGAAGGAAGCTCACTCAAACTCACAGAAATGGAGGAAAACATCCCAATAAAATGACTTTCTGTTCATCAGAGCTGCAGGAATATGGTTCTCAAAGCCTCCAGTAATGAAAGTTTCGGTCCCTAAACTTGTATTTCTGCCATGAATTATCCTTTGAATTAAAACACACACATATATAGTACTCCTTGCTCATTAAAGAAAATTCACAAAATAGAGAAAAGGACAAAATAGTTTTCAATCAGTCTCACTATTTACACAGTATAACATTTTGGAGTATGAATTACTCTCTTACTTATGGAATTTAATAAAAACCAGATGACAGCTCTTGCTGTCTGCTAAAATCAGAGCCAGATTCACTAGAAAATGCATAGGTAGATTTCATAGTTGGTTCCTGCAGCCACATGCAGGGAGTGCCTGTGGGCATACCTTGGCAGGCAGCACTGGGCGGGGGAGCTGAGTTCCCGGAAAGGGTGAATTAGTATGGTTGGGTGCCTTTGCGTGATCCTTACGGGGCTTTGTACGGTGCCAACCCCTGAAGTCATGACAAGCCTCAGACCACAGTTCCTTCCAGATCCCATTCATACAATTACTAGTCAATCCTCCAGGCTTCAGTGATGGACACGAGGCCCTTCCTAAAAATCAGACCTCCCTAACAGCCCTGTGAGCTTGTTTATGGTTTCCTAGACTGAACTTGCCTTGTGCTGCCATAATACATGAACTCTGGCATCCAGCACAACACTTTTCCTTCGGACCCTTAGTGGCCACGCCAGCACTATCATTCGTTAATGAAATGGGACACACAGCGCCCATAAAGGAAAAAGAAAACATGGTGGAGAGATGAAACCTGGTTGAAATAAACAAGTCAAGACAGCTTTCAGACTGAGAAAGTGGCCCACCAGGATGCCTTGCCAGAGAGCTGCTACTTCTCCATCTGCATGCGATGACCAGCCCCGAGGAAGGCACACACTGACTTCACACTACAGCGGATTTATGTATGTGCGTATATACTTGTTTTATTTAACGTAAGAAGTATTTCTGAGCCCAGAGTAATGAAT